GACTACGTGGGAGTCCAGCGACATAGCCATTACGCTAACTGCTGGTTCCCCACAGGAAGTATTTTTGATCTGCCACCCACATAACCCCAGAGTGACCTAACCCCAGAGTGACCATTTCCTTCTCCAACTTGGCATTAGCCTGATCCCAGTCCTCAGAGTCAGGGGGGAGCGGGGTGGGGGTTCAGTGGTAAAAGGCACAGGGAATGTCCTGGGTTTGCATCTGGAGACCTCCCTGAGCACACCAGGCGTGCCTGTGCTGGTGATCTGGGGCTGGCAGGGATGGGTTGCAGCCCCCTGTCGGGGGTGCAGTTTCTGTCCCTTGCTTGGTCTCTCTTGTTCATGGAAGAAATAAATAAACTTTTAAAAAAAAGAAGAACAAGAACAAGAGAGACTAAATAAGAATGATGAAATTCTCGAAGATGAATTTAAATGAGGAACATGCCATTGTAAAGTCCCTTTGCCATTTGAAGATGCTTTTTGAATCCAGATTTCTCTTTAATAAAAGGTACACAGATGAACGAATAGGCATTTATTAAATACCTACTATCAAACAGTACAGAAAAATGGGTAGACATAGGCTTTGAAGTCAGATGGGGTTTGTGTCCTGCCCTGGCTGTGAGATTCTGTCACATAACCTCTCTGAGCCTCCGTTTCCTCATCCGTAGAATGGGTAATAGCACCTTCTCTGACAGCACCGAGTGGGTGGGGCTGCGGGACTGACCCAGCAGTCCTTTATGCAGATTAAACACTGCTGGCCTTTTGGGAAAGGGGAGGGTGGTAAAAACGGGGCAAGAGGGACCAGCAGTTAGCATAATGGCTATGTCGCTGGACTCCCACGTAGTCGACCACAGTTCACGTCCCGGACTCGGTGGCTTAAAACTCACGGCGGGCGCGTGTGCGTGCGTGCCCAAGATCCCGAGAGGAGAATGGAGGAGAAGGGATTGCGGCATGGCCATCCCCTCTGGGGGGTGATTTCTCACTTTCCATTTCTCTGTCTCTCTCTCTCTGTCTTTCTGGCGAGCGCATGCACCCTATAGCAAAAACCTCTCCAAGAAAAACAACAACAACAAAAAAGGGGGCAAGAATACACAAGCTTGCAAAGTGCGTCCCCTACCCACAGGGACCTTACAGAATGATCCGAAACTATTTCCATTGTGGACTTTTCCAGGTGTAAAATTTATGTTCTCTTTTTTTTTTTTTTTTTTTTTTCCATCCCAGGTTTCGGCTTCCTAAAAAACATAATAATAATCTTCCCAGGGTGACCAACCTCACTTGTTAATGTGACATAAACCAGCTCCTCCTGCCCACGGCGTGACTTTTGCTGGGAGCAGAGTGGTGGACATAGGCTTATTCATCGATGCCGCCTTCAACTGGACCCGAGGAGCGCTGCCAGCTATGCCTCCCCCTGCCCCCGCCGCTCCTCACCTCCCACGCTAACCTGCATGGTGTGGGTGCCCTTGGGACCCCAGAAGACTGATTATCTGACCTTGCTTCACACCCTTCATAACAACGCCCTCAAGATGTCCCTTGAGTGGCTGGTGGCCTGGAGCTGGTCTCTGGACGGCCTGAGGGACTGCATCGCCACCGGCATCCAGTCTGTGCGGGACTGCGACACCACGGCGGTGGTCACCGTGGCCTGCCTGCTGGTCCTGTTCGTGTGGTACTGCTACCACGTGGGCAGGGAGCAGCCCCGGCCCTACGTCTCCGTCAACTCCCTCATGCAGGGCGCAGATGCCAGCGGGCTGCAGAACGGGTACGTGTACTGCCAGTCCCCCGAGTGCGTGCGCTGCACGCACAACGAGGGCCTCAACCAGAAACTCTACCACAACCTGCAGGAGTACGCCAAGCGCTACTCCTGGTCCGGCATGGGCCGCATCCACAAGGGTATCCGCGAGCAGGGCCGCTACCTCAACAGCCGGCCCTCCATCCAGAAGCCCGAGGTCTTCTTCCTGCCCGACCTCCCCACCACGCCCTACTTCTCCCGGGAAGCACAGAAGCACGACGTGGAACTGCTGGAACGGAACTTCCAGACCATCCTGTGCGAGTTCGAGACCCTCTACAAAGCCTTCTCAAACTGCAGCCTCCCACAAGGATGGAAAATGAACAGCACCCCCAGCGGAGAGTGGTTCACCTTTTACTTGGTCAATCAGGGCGTTTGCGTTCCCAGGAACTGCAGGAAGTGCCCACGGACGTACCGCTTGCTCGGAAGCCTTCGGACCTGTATTGGGAACAATGTTTTTGGGAACGCATGCATCTCCGTGCTGAGCCCCGGGACTGTGATAACGGAGCACTATGGACCCACCAACATCCGGATCCGATGCCATTTAGGTACGTTGCAGGGACGGGGGTCTCCGGGCATGTGCATTCGTAAGTACAATCCCTTTGACTTAACCGCAGTCGAGACATCACCGAGGCTCACCTAGCCGGAGTTTTATCTTTTCTCATTGTTCACTGTACTTTTATGGAAAATCGATGCATCACGTATAGACAAATTTGACAGAAGAGATTGAATCCTAAAATAAATATGTGATCAGTGCAAACCTAATTTCTGACAGCGCCCTGTCCACATGGACTTGCTGGTGGAAATGTTTCCATCTCCTTAGCCCAGTCCAGTAACCACGAGTCACAGGTGACTGCTAAGTCCCTGATATATGGCCAATGCAGCTGAGGAGCTAAATGTTTCATTTAAATTGAAACAGCCACCTCTGGCCCGTGGCTACTGAATTGGACAGCGTAGTCCTGGAGCCAAAGACCATTTATTATAATGATTACCGAGGTTCATAATGACATCAGGAGACTGTGAAAGATACCGAAGTGCTGTCTGAATCATTGCGGGTAAAATGATGCTTGCTGTTAGGTTGTTCATTCAGAGTCTCGGGAAAGCAGTAACGTGTATGTTTTGTATATGGCGGTGGTTTTGTGAACAGGGTCTGGAATGAGATGGTCTGTTTGCATCCTGGCCCCACCAGGAGCTAGCTGTGTTCCTTTGCGCAAGTCACTTCACCTCTCTGAGCTTCCATTTTCTCATCTGCAACATGGAAGTAGAAAAAAAATCTTCCCTGACAGAGGTTTTTGTTTTGTTTTTCAAGAATTATTTGTTGTATTTTATTTATTATTATTATTAATTTGACCAGAGAGAGACAGAGAGCAAGCAGGAAAATGAGAAAGCAAGCCACAAGGTCCAGGACTCAAACCACTGTCAGCCACGTGGCAGTCCAGCACATTAACGACCGCACCACCTGCCAGCCCCCCGACAGAGTTATTTCGAGGATTACAGCAGATAACGTGTCATGCAGAATACTTATTTATTTGGAGCCTGCTATAGAGCATGCACTCAATAAAGCATAGTAGCAACTTGGTAAAGAGGGATGTATTGGTTCCCAGAACGCCTGGCATGTGGTGAGCACCCCAGAATCAGCCCCATCCAGCCCTGGGGAGTTGGTGTGGCTGCTTCCACTTCCGAATGGGGGAAGGAAAAGAAGTCACGTAGGCTGGAGCAGGGTTTCCATAACCACATTCTGCCAAGGAGCCTCAGGGCTGCTGGGGGTGGAGACTCCACCCTCTCCGCTTCACCCGTTTGCCTCACCCCTCTAACCGCAGTCGAGACATCACCGAGGCTCACCTAGCCGGAGTTTTATCTTTTCTCATTGTTCACTGTACTTTTATGGAAAATCGATGCATCACGTATAGACAAATTTGACAGAAGAGATTGAATCCTAAAATAAATATGTGATCAGTGCAAACCTAATTTCTGACAGCGCCCTGTCCACATGGACTTGCTGGTGGAAATGTTTCCATCTCCTTAGCCCAGTCCAGTAACCACGAGTCACAGGTGACTGCTAAGTCCCTGATATATGGCCAATGCAGCTGAGGAGCTAAATGTTTCATTTAAATTGAAACAGCCACCTCTGGCCCGTGGCTACTGAATTGGACAGCGTAGTCCTGGAGCCAAAGACCATTTATTATAATGATTACCGAGGTTCATAATGACATCAGGAGACTGTGAAAGATACCGAAGTGCTGTCTGAATCATTGCGGGTAAAATGATGCTTGCTGTTAGGTTGTTCATTCAGAGTCTCGGGAAAGCAGTAACGTGTATGTTTTGTGTATGGCGGTGGTTTTGTGAACAGGGTCTGGAATGAGATGGTCTGTTTGCATCCTGGCCCCACCAGGAGCTAGCTGTGTTCCTTTGCGCAAGTCACTTCACCTCTCTGAGCTTCCATTTTCTCATCTGCAACATGGAAGTAGAAAAAAAAATCTTCCCTGACAGAGGTTTTTGTTTTGTTTTTCAAGAATTATTTGTTGTATTTTATTTATTATTATTATTAATTTGACCAGAGAGAGACAGAGAGCAAGCAGGAAAATGAGAAAGCAAGCCACAAGGTCCAGGACTCAAACCACTGTCAGCCACGTGGCAGTCCAGCACATTAACGACCGCACCACCTGCCAGCCCCCCGACAGAGTTATTTCGAGGATTACAGCAGATAACGTGTCATGCAGAATACTTATTTATTTGGAGCCTGCTATAGAGCATGCACTCAATAAAGCATAGTAGCAACTTGGTAAAGAGGGATGTATTGGTTCCCAGAACGCCTGGCATGTGGTGAGCACCCCAGAATCAGCCCCATCCAGCCCTGGGGAGTTGGTGTGGCTGCTTCCACTTCCGAATGGGGGAAGGAAAAGAAGTCACGTAGGCTGGAGCAGGGTTTCCATAACCACATTCTGCCAAGGAGCCTCAGGGCTGCTGGGGGTGGAGCCTCCACCCTCTCCGCTTCACCCGTTCGCCTCCACCCTCTCCACTTCACCCGTTCCACGTGGAGACTTATCTAAGGAAGAGCTGCTTTGGACAGAGGACTCCGCGGCTTGAAAAAGGAAGACGGGGCAATAACGAGATGAGGGCAGTGGGTGTGGCAGGTATCTCCAGAAGAAGGGAGGATGGAGTAGAGGTGACCCCGCTTTGCCTTCAGCTGGGAGACTTAGGGCAGGTAACTGAGTCTGTCTGTGTCCCAGGTCCTCTTCTGTGAAATGGGGTGATCGTTCCGTGGCCACAGACGTTGCTGAGAGGCTTAGGTTAGTAACATCGTGTATGACTACATGTCTTGGTGCCTGGCCCAGGTCGGCATTCAGTAAATGGCGCCAGCAACCATTCTGATCATGAGCTGTGTCGGACGGCGTGGGAAATGATCCCTAATGCCTGGTCTCTGCTCTCAGGGAACAGCAGACAATAAACAGGCTCTGGAAGCAGACAAATCTAGGCTGCGTCTTGGCTTGGCTTCATTTACTGAGTAACCTTGGCCAGGGCCCCGAGACTCTCTGAGCTTCTGATTTCTCCTGTCTGTCAATAACGTGGAGGTGGGGTCCCGGGTTCGTGCCCCAGAACCTCCGTGAGTATACCGGGTGCATGTGTGTACCCATGATCCTGGCTGGCTGAGACTGGAGTGGATGGCAGCGTGGGGACCCTGCTGGGGCTGTCTATTTCATTGAAGAAATAAAGACACTGTGAGTGGAGGTAAGGATACTTACCTTTAGCGCTGTACTGCAGAGTAGCCGTAATATGTGTGACCGGGCTCTTAGTAATCTAAGAGAAGACCGTGATTGATAAAACCGCTGTGTGAGGCACGAGGGCATACTGAGAGGTCAGAGCCACAGGGCGGCAGATGGGGTGTCTGGGGAGCTGAGGCTGACCCTGGAGGATCGATGGGACCTGCTGGGGTGAAGGCGAAGGAGGGAGCTGTATCTAAGCTTGTGGGCGCAGTGGCACTGGCCGAAATTGCACAGGTCAGGTGGGGGACAAACCACAGAGGCCAGGGAGCCAGGCCTGGGAACTAGAGCTGTGGGCAACGGGAGCCAGGCTTTTCTTTTTAAAGATTTTCTTCTGTTTGTTTGTTGTTGTTTTATTTTCTAGAGATTTTTGCTGTAGGTTGCATGCATTTGCCAGAGAGACAGAGAGGGGAAAAGAGAGAAATCACCCCCTTGGGAGGATGGCCTCATAGCAGTCCCTTCTCCATCCTCCCCTCAGGATTCTAAGCATGCATGCACATGTGCCCAGCGTGATTTTCAAGCCTCTGGGTCTGGGACTTGAACTGCAGTCGACCATGTGGGAGTGTAGCACCTTGACCACCATGCCACCTGCTGCCCTTAGCATGTGTTTTTTAAAAGCTTCAGAGTGATATGCAAGGAAGGCCTTTTCAGGATTGATGGGGTAGAATTCCAGGCATGCACGTTGAATAGAAAAGGCTGGGGTCAAGAAAATCTAGGGTTTGTTTCCTGCATATATGTAAGTGCACATATGTGTGTGTAAAAACGTGCCCACATAGGCCTTCTTCATGGCCTGTCATTCCTTTCTCGCTAGTTGCTTGCCAGAAAAAGTGAGTCCCCCATGTTCCTGTGGGCAGCAGGCACCTCCTTGGAGGAGGTCTCACTGGGCTGTGCGTGTTCAGGGCTAGGATGAGCTCTGCAGTGGGCTTTCTCGGCATTTCCTTCTTTACGCTGTCCTTGCTGCATTTAAGTCTACCCTGAAGGGAAACAAGAGGTGTGTCAGGTTCACGTGACCTGGTGTGTTGACAGAGAGGGCGTCCAGAGAATGAGGTCAGAGGCTGGATAAGCCAGATGCATACCCGGCAGCCACACCTCTCCTGGCTACCTGGCCGAAGAGGGTGGAGGCTCCCGCAGCCTCAGAGCTGTGATCTTGAAATGCCAGCTCGCTCCCTTTTGTCTGTCTATCCGAGTTGCAGTGGATGGCATTGTCTCTCTGGACCATGGAGACGCTGGCCGTGGTGCTTTGCTTACTTCTCCCATTTGGCCACCGCAAACTTGCCGAGCCCTGCTGCAATGCCATGCGGAACCACGGGACAGCTCCAGGCCCACCCATCACCCAGTGGGGCTGAGATGTTCTACTGCTGCAGCCTTCTAGAAAACCACTTCGGAAAGTCCTCTGAAATCAGCCAGGCAGATGTGACTGGGGAGGCAGATACTGCATGAAAATGCATGCATGTGTTCAGTGAGTTGCAGCGAATAAGCACAATGAGGCTTTGTTTTTCTTTTATACATAAGTTGTCAGTTTTAGGCAGTCTAGCTGGGTGGTACTAGCGGATCAGCTCGAGTTTACCTTGCATCCTCTGGGTCCCTCCTTCCCCCTCTTCCTACGAGGGCAGGTTGAGCAGCATGACCCAAGCCCTAGAGGAGCGTGGGTCTGTCTGAGGTCATGGTGGCACTTCTCTTTGTCCTCAAGAGCCACCCAAGTACCTCGTTTGGGGGAACAGTGATCATTTCTGCCAATGCAGCTGGTTCGTGAGCAGCAGACAGCAACAGTGGACCACTGGAATCCTGGAGTGGAATAGAGGGAGAGGTGGGGGACCAGAAGCAGGAGTGTCAAGCCAACAAGCACTGCCAATTTTCTTTTTCTTTTTTTTTTTTTTACTCTTTTCCATTGGCTAGAGAGCATGTGCTCTCACCAGAGAAAGAGAAAGAAAGCACCCCTGCAATGGAGTGTGGTCATGCCATAATCACTTTCACTTCATCCTGTTGGAATCTGGGGCACACACACACACGTGCCCAGCGTGGTTTTCAAACCACCGGGGCTGGGATTTGAACTGTGTTGTCAGCCAAGGGAAATCTGGCTCCCTTCACCACCAAGCCATGGGGCCAGCCCAAAACCAATTTTAGTGACATGTGGCAATGAGTCCTCTAGTGACCCAGAGAAAGAAAAGCTTCTTTCTGGAAGATCTGCGGGTAGACTGTCCTATTCCTAAGGACTTCTTCCCCCATGAACCAGCCAACATGGGCACGCACAAAGGTTGGAATTTAAAGAGGAGAGCTTTGTGTGGCCCTTTGCGTCTTTAATTCAGCTAAAATAGCTCTAGAGGCGGGACTGTAGTAAACACAATTAGTGGGCTGGGCAGCGAGGTTCTGAGCAAGGCTCCCTGGATCTCCGGGGTTCCAGCGGTTGGGCTTCAGGGCTCTCAAAGGTGTAGAGCAAGCCTCTGGCTTGTATCAGCGGAGCCCATGACCCAGAATAGATGAAGCCAAGGAAGAGGAGTTTGGGTCAAGAGCTCTATGAAAATCTAGGTGCACTGCCTGTATCTGCCTTTCCCAACTACCTCCTGCCCCAGACGGGCTTAGTCCATCCAAGCTGTTAGGGCAGATACAGTTTGAGGCTGGAAGTCCAAGGTCTGTGTCCTCACGTGGTGGAAGCGGGTGAACAAGCTCCACTGGGCCCATCTCATCAGGACCCAATCTCCTCCTGAAGGCCCCACCTCCTGATTCCATCACCCTGGGGATTAGGTTTTAATGTAGGAATTTTGCAGGGACACAAACCTTCAGCCGATAGCATGAGCTCTGGAGGGGTGAGGCATTCAGTCAGGTGCTTTGGAAGTTGCGAGGTCTCTGCACAGCACAGCTCTGCTTGCCTCCTGGCCTTCTCAAGTCTGGCCTCCCTTCACTCCCTTTTCTGTCTTTCCCACAAGGTCTGAAAACTCCGAGTGGCTGTGAGCTGGTGGTCGGGGGGGAGCCCCAGTGCTGGGCAGAAGGACGCTGCCTCCTCTTCGACGACTCTTTTCTGCACACTGCGTTCCACGAAGGTCAGTGTCTGCCTCCCCCCTTCATTTTTCTTTTACTAATAGACTTCATTTATTTCGGGGGTTGTCAGAAAAGTCATGACATACACATCAGTATTTTATTCAGTTTGTCATAGGGTACTCGCTGGAGGGAGAAAAGGGTGGTGATTACAACACAATCCCTTCTGCCCGGTTCTCCTCTCAGGATTTTGAGCATGCACACATACACACTTGGTATGATTTTCAAGCCACACGGTCTGAGACTCGAACCTCAAAGTCAGCCATATGGCATCCAGCACTTTAATTACCCTCCATGCCACCTGCTGGTCCCAACAGACTTTAATTTTTAGAGTCATGTTACGTTTCCAGAAAAATTGAGCAGCAAGTATCAGGTACGCCTTTTCAATCACCCGCACTGCCGACAACTCATAGTTTCTCTCTCTTTTTTTTTTTTTAAGTTTATTTATTCTGAGAGAGAAAGAAGGATGGAGAGAGGGAGGGAAGGAGGTTCCCCCACAGGATCTTCATGCCATGACCCAGCCCTAGCCCCAGCCAGCCAGGCTCACGGGCACATGTGGCGTGTATAGGGAGGCCTCAGGACACAAACCCAGGACCTTCCCATGTGACCTCAGCATCTAGGAGCATCATGCTATGCCACCCCACTACAGCTGTCCCCAAGCCCCAGGACTGGCAGCTCATGTTAGTGTGGTGCGTTTGTCACAACCGATGAGCTACTAGCGACACATCGCATCACCTAACGCCCACAGTCTATGTGGGTTCGTCTTGGTGCTGTACCTTCTGTGGGTGGCTTGATCCCTCCTCTCGTCCCCGTCCCCCCTCTCAGGCGCAGCTGAGGATGGCCCACGGGTAGTTTTCATGGTGGATCTGTGGCACCCCAATGTCGCAGCAGCTGAACGGCAGGCCCTCGATTTCATCTTCGCCCCGGGACGATGAGAACAGGGACCACGCCGGGGTCGGCCAGCGGGGCGAGACAAGCCTGGGCAGGCTGGTGCAGTCCAGCGTCGCCCATGTCGGGATTCCGTGCTCCTGAACCTGCCTCAGCGGAAAGCTCTTACTTGGGATGTGAGTTCACGCTGGGTCCCTCTTCCCTTTGGTTCTTGTACCTGGGAAATTTGCAGCTTGTATTTCCTTAGATTTTTGTTCTTCCTTCCAATCCTTTGCTTCTGGGATTCCTTTCTGGCCTAACAGCGCATTCCTTTGCCTCCGTGACCAGACACTCAGTGTCCCCGTGAGTCTGTGTTCTGTTGCTACTCAGTTCTTTCAGTGCTCTGAAACAGAGCAACCAAATGGTTATGTGTCTGAATGTAATAATGTGAAGCTTCTTGTGGTCATCTTAAAAGAGAAAACAAAACATAACAAACTGCAAGCCAGAGAGCTGGAGAACAGGGCCTCTGACACTGGCATCCAACAGATGTTTCGGCTGCCCTGGGGCAAGGGAGAGTCTGCAGTGCCCACACCCAGCCAGCTGTCAGCAGGTTGAGAGGCTGCCGGACACAGCAGAAGGCGGTGCCCAGCGTCAGGACCCTGGGCAGCTGTCACCATCGCAACCTCACCCCAAACCCGGTCAGGTCCCTGATGACAACAAGCATTCGGCTGGTGGGACTGGAGGCTTCTCTTTTAAACACGGCTTTGTACAAAGCTGAGGCTGCTGTCCTCGAGAGCCAAGCTGGGGCTCCCACCATCAGCCCCGGATGTGTGATCCACTTACCTCACTGCCTACAGAAGCCCTACTGCCAAACCAGGCCTGGACAAGTCCCCATCTTAGCTCTTTGGCGTCCAGTGATGAACGTTGAGACCACCAGGGCGGCTGATGGGAACTGTGGTGGGATAAGACTCCACTCAACAGTGACACGCTGGGAAAGCCTTTCTCTGGCAAAACTGGAATCCTCAATCTGACCAAAGTGTCTGTTTTGCTTTGGAGTTCTGTTGCCTATGATTTTTTTTTATTTCTTTGTCTGTACGTAAACGTTCAAACACGAGACTTGGGGATCATGGGAGAGTTGGCACGGTGTCTTTGTCATTGTACAAGGTGTGCGCTGAGTAACAGTGACCCAAGCCAGCATGTGCTAGGGAGGACGCAGGGAAGACGGACCAGCCCACAGGCCCCACCGTCACTGTGCTGGCGTTTCGGTCTCCTGTGCTGAACACACAGAGCTTTTCCCAAAGGAAAAGGCCTGTAGAGGCCAGATCGAGGCACTACGTCTAGAAACAGCCTCCCATTAGCTGACATGTCAAAGTGTAGCTTACCAGCCATACTAGAGATGCCTTTTTTGAATACTGTCCTATGGGCAGTGTCAGACAGAAAAGCCAAGGAGCAGTGCAGAACAGACAGCTTGTCACACGCACAGGTCCAGTTGTTGACATCCAGGAGAGAACCAGCAGCCTCCGTGAGCTACGACGGTCAGGAGTAAACACAATCTGAAATGCACTACATCATTACTAACAAGTGTACAAAGAGAACATGTCCGCAGCGGAGGAAAAAAAGATCCGCACGGGTTATTTCCAGAGATCAGAGAGCAGGAAGAAAGGCAGAAGTTTCCAACACACCTGAAGTCTTTTTAATCATTAAGTATCTTGTTAAAGAACCACCGAGGTGCATGATTTCTACACATACCGACTACACCGCTCTACGTTTACAAAACCAACAGCCCGCACAGGTACGTGGCTACCCGTGCTCATGTGATGTGGTTGAGAACAGAAGATAAATAAAGGATCTTGCTAAAAACCAGACTGAAGTGGTCCCATAGTCTGTGGGGAGAAGATGCAACTTGGGCAGAAGTCCCAAGAGCATCACTCCAATGAGCTTGAGGGGCTTTGCTTTTTGAATCATGTTACAGGGTCAAGCAAGACACTAAAATTGATCATGATAATAATTAAAGTGGGCTGGCCCTAGCCAAGTGGTTAAAGGAGCTGGATCCCTCATGGCTGACGGTGGTTTGAATCCCAGCCCTGAGGGCTTGATAAAACATGTAAGGGTATGCATGCCCCAAATCCTGACAGGGTGGAGAAATGGAGGAGGAAGAATTGCAATGTAACAACCACGCCCACTGGGGGCTGCTTTCTCCTTTTCCCTCTGTCTCTCTGTCTTTCTCTCTCTCTGACAAGCTCTGTGTCCTCTGGCAAATTTTTAAAAAATAAATAATTGAAGCAAAATATTTTTCTATAATAATGGGCATTAGACCATCAGTGGTGTGCCGGTTAAGATGGCTAGATCCCACATGGCCAACAGCACAGTTCAAATCCCAGACCTAGCAGCTTGAAAAACACACCAGGTGCGAGCTTGTGCTTGCCCAAAATCCTGAAAGGGGAGGGAGATGGAGGAGGAGGAACTGCAGTGCAGCCACCCCTATGAAGGTGGCTTTCTCACTTCCCCTCTCTGTCTTTGTCAAGTGCACATGCCCTCTGGCAAATTTTAAAAAACAAGAATGGGCATCGGGTGGGGAAGGCAAGACCAGATCTGTGGAAATGTAAGGAACTGTAGATGTCCAACTGGGCAATGCACGAGGACTTTGGCTTTAGGAAGGCTGAGAATGCAGGACCTAGTGCTCGGACATCGCTCTCTTGTGACCTTGACAAGTCTCTTAGCCTCTGGCAGCCTCAGCTGGCTCTGTAGAGACAGCACCTGGCATGTAAAGGGCACTCGGCAATGTTGCTTCACTTTCTGCCAAAGCCGAGCAGAGAAACAGGTTTTAGAGGAACAAGGGAGGCGGGAGGGAGGGATGGCTACACCTAGTTAGCCTTCAGCAGTAGCTGTGACAGTGGGGAGCCCCAGCCACTCTGACCAGTCTGATCACAGAGGGAGCACTGCCCTTCCTTAGCTGTTTTAAATATTTCTCCTTTGTCTCAGAGGAGGGAGAGGTGACCCTGGGGGATAGGGGCCCCAGGCTGCTGGTATTTCTGCATGCAGCTCAGTTCCAGCCTGGTAGCCAGGAGCCCTAAGTCCCAGCTGGGCTGTCGCAGCAAGCAGAAGGGGAGAGCGCCACTTTCCTGGAGCGGAGCTTCTCCTCACCCTCCTAAACGGGTGTGCTTGCCAACTTCACAATTGCTAAAGTAATTTACATGTGATGGCCGGGGATGCTCAAGGTGAGAAAGGGGAGCGGGAAAGCCTGCCCAGCTGCAAATGGGAATCCCTGCCTTCCACCAGGACAGCTTGGGTCTGCTTCAAGCTCCCTCTGCAGCACAGTCAAGGCCAGACCTGTTAGGTGGCTCGCACAAGCTCACACCCCGGGTCTCCAGGACCAATCCCTTTCTCCCAGCACCTGCTCGTCCTCCCCAGAGTCACCTAGATTGGCTGGGTTACGACTTTGGAGACAGTGACCAAACTCTGGCCCTGTAGCATAGAGCAGGGGAGGGGCAGGGTAACCCTAATCCACAGTCCTGATTTTGGCCACTCAGCACAATCAGCCAGGGAGCCTTGAGAACACCGGTGCCCTTGACTGCCCCTACAGCCTCTCATTGCTCTTGTTCTGGGAATGGGGCCGACAGGGGTATTTCTTGTTTATTTCTTGTTTGATTCCAGTGTGTAGCTGGGTTGGTGGTTCCTGCTCTGAGCAGCAAGAATGGTAAGGCCTTTGAAACCAAATAGCTGGAGGAGGTCTGGGCCACAACCCCGTGTAACGCTGGGCAGGCCGCCTAGCCTTGGTCTCTAGAGGAAAGTTGCTGCTTTTAAACCCCTCTTGACAACAGTACACCGATGACCCTGTCTGAGACCACATCCTGGGGCCAGCAGGTGGCATGGTGGTTAAGGCGCTGGACTCCCATATGCCTGACTGTGGTCTGAGTCCCAGACCTGGTGGCTTGCTTTCCCATCTCTCTCTGTTATTTCTCTCGAATTAAAATAACAATAGTCATACAATTAAATAATTCTAAAAAAGATTGCAACATCCCCTACACTCAGGCCTTGGGATTCCAAGACCAGACTAATGAGAGCCTCCCACACTCCCGGCCTCTCAGAGACTGGGGCAGGGCAGAGCACGTGGTCCAAGGTCTTTTGTGGGACCATTGCAGATGACAGGCAGCTTTTCACCAGGTGGGAGGAGGGGAATTTTGTGGAAAAAAGACCTGAGAGTGAAACCCACACTGGTGGGCAGGTCCACCCCGTGGAGATGTTCTGAGTCTGAATACAACCCCACCTGAACCAGCTCTACCTCTGGACTTCACAGTTACGAGAGCCAACAGACCCCCTTTTTATTCTCAAGTTGGAGTCGGTTCTCTGCCTTGCCACCAAGAAGGCCCATTCCACTCGGAGCTTCCTCAGAGAGACGAGCCTCTTGCCTACTTTCACAGGCTCCAAGGGCAACCTGAAGAAGATGGGATTATGCCAAGTTTGGGGTGGAAAGGAGGCACGCCATACATAGTTTTTGAATGCAAATACGAGGAACAGAGTGTAAGTGCAAAGTGCCCTTTCTAAGGACCGTCCTGCCTACCGCCAGCAACCTTCCTGAACATTGCCCTCCCCGGCTGAATTCTGCTAACCAGATGTAAACGCAGGGAACAGGACAGAATAAGGCCACGTATTTCCGAGCTGCTGACAGATGGCAGTGAGAATATGCAAACAGATTGTAGCATTAGGTGGCAGGAGGCGACACTCTCCGGGATTGGTTTACTCTCCGCCTCCTTCCCAGGCGCGCATACGCGGGCCCCAACTTCTGGTGACAGACCCTGTACCACGTGTCCCCACTTGCCATGTGTCAGCCCCCCTCACTCTCGCAGTTCAAGATGAGCGGAGAGCACTGTGTGCCCAGTGAGAGCACAAGAATGGTAAGGCCTTTGAAACCAAATAGCTGGAGGAGGTCTGGGCCACAACCCCGTGTAACGCTGGGCAGGCCGCCTAGCCTTGGTCTCTAGAGGAAAGTTGCTGCTTTTAAACCCCTCTTGACAACAGTACACCGATGACCCTGTCTGAGACCACATCCTGGGGCCAGCAGGTGGCATGGTGGTTAAGGCGCTGGACTCCCATATGCCTGACTGTGGTCTGAGTCCCAGACCTGGTGGCTTGCTTTCCCATCTCTCTCTGTTATTTCTCTCGAATTAAAATAACAATAGTCATACAATTAAATAATTCTAAAAAAGATTGCAACATCCCCTACACTCAGGCCTTGGGATTCCAAGACCAGACTAATGAGAGCCTCCCACACTCCCGGCCTCTCAGAGACTGGGGCAGGGCAGAGCACGTGGTCCAAGGTCTTTTGTGGGACCATTGCAGATGACAGGCAGCTTTTCACCAGGTGGGAGGAGGGGAATTTTGTGGAAAAAAGACCTGAGAGTGAAACCCACACTGGTGGGCAGGTCCACCCCGTGGAGATGTTCTGAGTCTGAATACAACCCCACCTGAACCAGCTCTACCTCTGGACTTCACAGTTACGAGAGCCAACAGACCCCCTTTTTATTCTCAAGTTGGAGTCGGTTCTCTGCCTTGCCACCAAGAAGGCCCATTCCACTCGGAGCTTCCTCAGAGAGACGAGCCTCTTGCCTACTTTCACAGGCTCCAAGGGCAACCTGAAGAAGATGGGATTATGCCAAGTTTGGGGTGGAAAGGAGGCACGCCATACATAGTTTTTGAATGCAAATACGAGGAACAGAGTGTAAGTGCAAAGTGCCCTTTCTAAGGACCGTCCTGCCTACCGCCAGCAACCTTCCTGAACATTGCCCTCCCCGGCTGAATTCTGCTAACCAGATGTAAACGCAGGGAACAGGACAGAATAAGGCCACGTATTTCCGAGCTGCTGACAGATGGCAGTGAGAATATGCAAACAGATTGTAGCATTAGGTGGCAGGAGGCGACACTCTCCGGGATTGGTTTACTCTCCGCCTCCTTCCCAGGCGCGCATACGCGGGCCCCAACTTCTGGTGACAGACCCTGTACCACGTGTCCCCACTTGCCATGTGTCAGCCCCCCTCACTCTCGCAGTTCAAGATGAGCGGAGAGCACTGTGTGCCCAGTGAGTGCCCCCCCCCCCGATCCATGGAATACTTGGGGCCACACCAGGAGAGCAGGGCCACTTCTAAGAATGAGGAGAGAGTCCCAGCGGGGGTAGCGGATGTGAACATGGTCCTGAGGCCGGCCAAGGGGCGAGCTGGAACTGGGAGCCAGGCATCCAAGTGCGCAGCTCGGCACGTCAGAGATCTGGGCCTTCATTCAGGACTCACCTGCCCTGTGATGCAGAGGGGTCCCTTGGGAGCCCAGTGGCTGCCTCAGGACACTCCTGTGGAACCCCGTTTTTCCAAGGGCTCACAAGCTCTTACAGCTATTGCATTCCCGTTTCTTTTAATTAATTATTTAATTTTATTTATTCATTTTTAATTTGACCAGAGGAGGAGAGGGAAAATGAAAAAGCAAGCCACCAGGTCTGGGACTCAAATGACAGATGGTCACATAGGAGTCCAGCACTTTAACCACCACATCATCTGCCAGCCCCCCTTCTCTCCATTTTTAAAACAAGGACACTGAGGAGCTCTCAGGTGACATGACGGTTAAGGGCACTGGACACCCACATGGCCAACAGTGGTTCGAGTCTCGGACCTGGTGGCTTGTTTTCTCACTTTCTCTCTCTCTCACTCTGTCCCTCTCTAGTCAAATTTTAAAAAGTTAAATAAAATAATGATTAAAAAATGAGGACACTGAGGTTCAGAGAAGTCACTCACTCCAGTTTCCACAGCCATAAGTCACAGATCTACAGGAATTAAACCCAGGTTTCTGGGACCAAGGCCCCATGCTCCTGCGGCCGCCAGGGGACCCAGCTTGGGCTGGTTGGGAAATAGTACAAGGGTGGACACACAGGAGGCCAGCGTCCCCCACTTCCTGCTGCGGGGCCCTCAGAACACCTGTCCTTATCAGAGGTGGGGCAGGGAGAAGGGCTACTCTCCAGCTTGGAGCTGAGCACACATAGGCTGAGCACACAGCCTCTTGGCTCTAGACGGGTTTCCAATAGGACTGTGGGCTTTACTATCAGGAGAAATACCACTGATTTCAGGTTCAGACAGATCTCAAATAAACAGAGAGTATCCTTTTTTCACCTTGAAGCCCTTAGAACCTTCACTTTAAGCTCAAGCAACATGTAGAAGAAAGATCCAGAGTCTCTCGTCCTAAGCCAGGATGACGACACCGTGCCCTCCCCAGGTCTCCCACACAGGCATCTAAAGGCGTCAGAACAGAGAAGCCAAGCAGGGAATAGGCAATGCCTTCTGCCTCTCTTGTCCCAGCAGGAGCCAGCAGCTGGGGGGTGGAGATAAGTGTTCACCTGTGTGTGTGTGTGTGTGTGTGTGTGTGTGTGTGTGTGTGTGCGCGCGCGTGCACGCATGCACGCTGGGCAGTGAGCCACACTATGATCACACAAGATTTGAGAGGATAGTCATCAGTTTCCTGCTTCCTCCCTGGACGAGCTTGTTAGAAGGAGGGACGGCCGCGTTGCCTGTTCCACCTGAAGACGGTTCAGGCCCCTCCCTCCACCCGCCGTCCATCCTAACCCTTAGCCTAGTGCAGTCGCCCCACTCTCCTAAGTACTCATTCCTCCAGCCTGCCATTGTCTGGCCACCTCCCTCCTCTGGGCCACCTGCCTCCCTCCTGGACAACTACGGCCTTCCTTTTTTATTTTTTTTGGAGAGTTTTTTTTTGCTATAGGGCATGTGCTCACCAACAAGAGAGAGAAAGAAAGTGAGAAATCACCCCCAAGAGGGGATGGCCACACTGCAATCCCTTCTCCATTCTTCTCTCGGGATCTTGGGGACGCACGCACACATACACACCCAGCATGAGTTTAAGCCACTGGGTCCGGGACTCGAACCGCAGTCGACTACATGGGAGTCCAGCGACATAGCCATCATGCTAACTGGTGGTCCCAACTATGGCCTTCTGATGGCGCCCGCCCTTGCTCAACTGACCTCGCACGTAGCAGCCAGTGACCTCTCTAGTTAGGAGAAGGAGCCACACCCCCACTGAAAGGCCCCGTTGTGCCCAGCACCTTGGCACCTCCACAATGGGGCCTTGGTTCTCCGCACCCTCTCCCTGAAGGCGAGGGAGCTTGGAGTCATGGGACAGATGCCTGCAGGTGGGTGTAGACTTTCCTGAGGCCGCTGTAACAAGCCACCACAAATGGGGGGGCTTAAATAAAAACTTATTCTCTCATGGGTCTGGAGGCCAGAAGTCTGAAATCAGTCCCACTGACAGGACCTGATTCAGAGTAGTCAGTCACACTCCGTCCACAGGGGTCAGGGCAGAGTCTACTCCTGGCCTCCTCGGCCTCCCTGGGCATGTGGCCATATCACCCCAGTGCCATGTGGCTCAGCTCCCTCTGTCCCCCTTACAGCACCCTTGTGGTGGTGTTTAGGGCCCACCTGATAATCCAGAAAAATTTCTTCTCAAGATCCTCAACTCAGGGGCCAGACAGTGGGGCAGCATTAAAACAGGATGCTCTGCAAGGCGGACTCACGAGACGAGTCCAGGTTTATGTCTGGAGACCCCTCTGCATACGCTGACCGCACATGTATACTGGGGCACGTGTGATCTGGGGCTGCCGGACCCCAGTGTCAAGACCCTATTGGGGCAAAAAATAAATTGCCTTTAAAGATGAGCGTGAACACAATTACAGTTGTAAAAATGTCATCATACCAAGTAACACCCACAGGCTCCATGGATTGGGCCCCGAAGTCTTTGGGGGCCACCATTCTGCCCATGATGTGGGGCCTGTGGCCTGTGGCAGGAGGCTCGCGGCAGAGCAGGCGTGCTGCTGGTACCATCGCAGGAGTGAGGCTAGGAACGCAGAAGCTGGGGGGACAGCAGAGCATCCACATGGGAAAGGACCAGTGGGGGTAAGTATGAGAGAGAGGGTGCTGCCAACAAAGACCCCTCCCCACTGACGAGAGCCCGTGTGCTGCCTGTGCCGCCCCTGCAGGGAAGGAGACACCTGATTAGGCTCGGAAGTCTCCTGAGGGAACAGGTCCTCTCCCAGCGGGACTTTGACTGCTCCATTAATCACTGGCAGGAACCTGACCCTTACAGTTCCCAGGGGGTAGACGGCGGGGGGCCATTTCTCTTCCTCTCCCGTCCCTGAAACCTCTACTGTGGCACCCACTGTCCACGATGAACTTGGACAGGCAGAGCGGACTAGCCCGAAAACCTGCCTTCCCTGGGGCAACAGCCCCGGGAGGGTGGAGAGCTCCGTCCAGTGGGGGTATGCTGTGTGGCCACTGCTGGGCCGGCACCTGGGGGCAGCTCATGTTCAGAGGCTAATTTTTAAAAATAATTATTTCACTTTATTTATTATTATTATTTTGTAATTTGCTATAGGGTATATGCGCTCACCAGAGAGAGGAGAGAAAGAGGGCAAGTGAGAAAGCAAGCTGCCAGGTCTCGGACTTGAACCGCAGCCAGCCATGAGAGTCCAGCACCTTAACCACCATGTCACCGGCTGGCCTCCAGCGGCTCATCCAATGAGAGCCCAGCCCCTGAACCACCATGTCAACGGCTGGCCTCCAGAGGCTAATTTCGACAGTATGAGGCCCTGGGCTGCGGCATAAACCATGTCCTGAGAGCCCTCCTGAAGCGCTAAAATACTGGAACAGGAAGACAGGGGCAAGGGCTCAGCCTCTGGGCTGCAGTCACCAACCTTTGGAGCTCAGGGGCTCTGAGAAGACCAAGCAGAGCCTAGCCTGAGGTAGGACCCTCCGTCTGGGAAGGTCACCCTCTGGCCAGTGACTAGGATGTGGGGAGAGGTGACAGCAGAGGGTGACAGGGCCTGGGTTATAAGCCCAGCAGCTGGGGCTGGTGCACATGGACCAGCAGTCTGCAGCCCATCACCCTCCCTGACAGACCACTGGAATGCAAGGTTTGCTCCTGGCAAGGGAAGGAAAGGAGATGTAAAAAAAAAAAAAAAGTCACATGTCCATGTTAAAAAAAGTCACATGCCACTCCATGATGGGAGTATGTTCTGAGAAAAGCATCACTCCACCTGTGTGAACATCAGTGTTCTTGCACACGCCTGGGCTATGCGATACAGCCTATGATAGCCTCATGGGACGTGTGGCCTGTCGTTGACCATCATGTGGTTATGCCGTGCACGACATATAGGGTCCTCTAAAGTTCATGGGAAAACGTGCATTATGGGAAGAAACATGTCAAATGTCTCTGTATCCAAGAGAAACTGATTTTAATTCCATTTTCCACGAACTTTTTGAAGTCCCCTCACGTATGTACACACTCATACGTATGCACATATATCGGGTTGTCAAATGTCATGATGTATTTTTTCTACATAAGAATGGGTCATGACCTTTCCAACGACCCAATATAACCATTCCCTTAACTTTGTCACTAGAAAATGTTATGATTTAATTACTCGGAACACAATCGTGTTTCTGGCTATTTTATTTTTAGCCCTTGGAAACATGTTTCAAGAAAAGACACCCTGCCCTCTACATTAGTTAGCTGCTCCCTGACATGAAATTGTTAAGATCGGGATCTCTGGGTGGAATCGTGGGTCCTTCCAGTAAACATTCAGTTAGGGTTTTGATGGATATTTCCATCCTGTGATCTGCACCTCTGACTGGAATGTAGCAGGCCAGTTTCAAATGCCACATGAGCCCAGAAACACAACTGCATGTTTCTTTTCACAGGGCTGCTTTCATCCCTGTGCACCTCAGAAACTCCTGTTTGGGGACACCCCCAAGAGGAACCAGCTGTACAGCCCATTTCTAAACAAAGACAGCACGCCAGAATTCCACAGGCTCAGTCCCCCAGAGCCTTTACAAAGACAGCTCTAAAGCCCCTTTGGCCTCCTGCCCTATCAGGACTCGCTACACGGAGGCATTCCAAAGAGCAGGCCCCAGGACTTGAATGAGGTTCGGAAGACTTCAGACAAGCCGGTTTCACACACAGCTCCTTCCCCACACTAAGTACCTGGCCCTCCCAGGGACCACTGAAGACAGCTGAACTGACAAGTGGGAGTGGGACTGGCCTGCTAACAGGTCCGGGTCCTCCTGTGTGGTGACAGGGCAGAACACCCATTCCAGACTGGGGACAACCAGGTTCTAGAAAAAATGCCAACTGAAGTTCTGTGGGACCCATTTGGGCTGGCATGGGCCAGCAGCGGGAGATGTCGAACACTCCAGGCTCAGTGCAGCAAGGGCACTAACAAGCCGTTCCTCTGTGGCTGAGCAGCCAGGCTCCTTCCTGGCCCTGACACTGCCAGTGGTGTAAGGCTCTTCTCAGTGCTCTCCATTTGCAGACCTGAAGAACCACCCACCCCCACACACACATCCCAGCCTATTGACAAAAGGCATAACAAAACCTCAAATAGTTACCAATCATCAAATGTCACACTGCTAGAAAAAAAGGAATATTCCAGGGAAAATACAATTGCAGGACCTTTCCTATAAAAAAGGGCAGAGCTTCCTTTGCTGAGGCTCTGTTCACCATCTCCTGGGACGGAGCCTGGCACTGCAGGTGCAGCTCAGAGTAAGTTCACCCCGTGCTTCAGCAGCTTCTGCTTGGCTTTGCCCGCAAGGCTGAAGGCGCTGTCCTGAGAGCTCGGGAAGCCGGAGCTCCGCGCTGCCGACGCGAGCTGCTGGAAGTAGGTCTCCTGGACAGGGTTGCAGCAGGCATAGATGGCCGTGGAGGCATTTCTGTTGGAGAGAGAAGGAAGACAACAGTCCAGTGGTGCCCAGACAGACCTGGTACACACGGAGCTGAGTGAGCAGGCCCCCACACCAAATGGTGCGGTGCAGCTAGCATGGCTCGGGATTCTGATCAGTCACACTGAGTTTCAGGCTCCAGTACCAACGGCCGTCTCTTCCAACAACTGTGGATGCTGGAATGCTGTGGCAGGACGGTCCCCGGTGGCTGCAGGCACAGAGTCTAACACTAATTACTGCATAAAGCAGGAACTGGCCAGTGCCTGCTGTGTTGCTGTGACGGTGGCCACAGTCCCTGCCCAACTGCCCACAGAAGCCTTGGCTGCAGTGGTACTGTCCCATTTGACAGACAAGGACCCTGAGGCTCAGAGCGGGCAAGGGATGCTACCCTGCCTCTAGGATAACACAATGGCTCCGGGGTGGGTGGGTGGACTGAGGGAGCGAGGTGGAAAGAGGAATGTGAAATGCAGTAACGCATAACCTGTCGGCTCAGAAGCAGAGGGAGTGATTGAGGGGACTGCGGAAAAACGGATGCATCTGGAGGAACTGGCTCTGGGGCCAGGTGACCACCCGCAGTCCCAACCCCGCTGCTTCCTTGCTGTGTGCCCCACACTAAGTGGCTCAACATTTCTGAGGGCTGACTTTCTCCTCTATACAACGAAAGTAAGTGCGCCCATTGAGGGTTTTGTTTTGTTTTTAAATTAATTGCTTTCGTGAGAGAGAGAAAGCAAAAGACAAACACCGTCAACAGGGTCCTGGACCACGATCCTCCCAAGCCTTCCCAGCCAGCCAGGGTTACAGGCGTGCATGCCTGGCATGTACTGTCCGACTGGGAAGTTAAACCCTTCATCTCCCATGTGGGTCCAGCCCTGCCTGAATAGCCCTCTGCCACTGTGGCACTGAGCTGGCCGAGAGGCTGCATATTTTACAGATGACATGCTCAGAAATGTACAGATACATGCTTAGCACATGGTGAGTAGTCCAGAGCTGCTAGCTGTTGACTCTATTACTATTATTAACATCATCTCTCAACAAATGCCCTGAGCTTTGCATCCCAACGCTAAAACCCCCACAGTTCCCAGGAAGGTGAAATGCCGCAGGGCTACGAGGGGTTTGGGTGAGCAGATGCTGACATTTTACTCGTTTCCACCTCCCACAAAACAGACACACATCCCCCCAACACAGCCAGTTCCCACACCAGTGACTGGAGCTGCGAATCACATCTACAGCGCCAGCCTGGCACGGCTCTGAACCAAAGCAGGAGAAGACACACGGATGATGGAAAGTCAGGCTGAAAACTGGCTGGGACGGTGCTGGGCTGCAGAAACACTGGGCCCTCAGATGTGGCAGGGGACGGGGACCTGCTCCCATCTGTGTCTGTGAGTCCATGGGAACGTATGTGGAAAGAACAAGCACTGCAGAGTCAGAGAGACTGAGTGCAAATCCTGGCCTTGCCATGTAATAAGAACATGGCTCTGGATAAGTGACTTGTCCTATCTGTGCTCTGACTTCTCTGTAAAATGAAGACTTAAAAGTACACTTGGGCCAGCCCAATAGCCTAGTGGTTAGTCAGATCTCATCACTTGGTCTACTGTAAAGTGTGACTCCTGGACTCAGCAGCTTGAGAAGCATGCCAGGAACATGCGCACGCAGAGTCAAAATTGCAACGGAATGGAAAAATGAAGAAGGGATTATGGCACGGTCACGCCCCATGGGGGTACCTCCTTTCTCCCTGGCGGGCATGTACCTTTTGACAACTGTAAAAAAAAAAATGCACTTGACTAGACGGTTCCAAGGGCTAAATGAAGCAATGTACACAGGGCGGGTACTCCCTCTAACTCACCTTATGTCCTGCTTCTGGTTTTATAAGAGAACATGTGGACAGGCAAAAAACCAGACTTTGGTTGGTTAGATACAGCAAATGGTATCTATCTACCATTAACAATGGTAATGAACAGATCTGTATCTACTGGCATGCAGGTGTTCAAGTTAAGCAATAATGGGACCAGCAGTTAGTGTAATGGCTATATCGCTGAACTCCCACATAGTCGACTGCGGTTCGAGTCCTGGACCCGGTGGCTTAAACGCACACCGGGCATGTGTGCATGCGTGCCCAAGAGCCCGAGAGGAGAATGGAGAAGAAGGGATTGCGGCGTGGCCATCCCCCCTGGGGGGTGATTTCTCAAGCCTTCTGTCTCTCTGTCTCTCTCTGTCTTTCTGGTGAGTGCATGCACCCTATAGCAAAAACCTCTCCAAAAAACAAGATAAGCAATAATATGAAAAAAAGCAACTGTGAAAACAGTACATGAATAGAATCCTATTTTCTAGAATGATATTAAAATAAAGATACTATTAATCTATATTTTATATGGAAAAAATAAAAACCCAAACCAATAAAACCTGGAGTAATATATACAAATTATTCAATATGGTTCCCTCTACGGTGTGTGATGAGGGGGAGAATATTTTCCTGTGTAGGTTTCTGAGCAGCCTGAAGGTTTTTATAATGAGCATATACTACTTTTTTTTTCAAAGAGATTTTTGCCATAGGACACGTGTGCTTGTTGGAGAGACAGTGAGAGACAAAGAGACAGAAAGCGGGATATCCCCCCCCCCAGGGGGAATGGCCACACTGCAATCCCTTCTCCTCCATTCTCCTCTTGGGATTTTGGGCACACACACACACATGTGCCCTGCATGAGTTTTAAGCTGCTGGGTCCGGGGCCTGAATGCTGGTCAACTATGTGGGAGTCTAGCAACGTAACCACTACACTATCTGCTGGTCCCACTGCTTTTTTAATGAGAAAGATAAGCATATTATTTCAATGCCATTTCTGGCAAGGAGAGAGCCTCATTCCTTGGTAACGGAAGTTGCTGCACAGCCTTCAGGTTTCCTTACTGTTGTTACCTGAGTGTCTAACACGGGAAGAGACCCAGGATACCCACGACACATGGACGGACGTGAGCGGACCATGGCAGCAGCCGGAACAGCTACAATACAAGCATGTGTGGAATGTTCTCCATCTATTAGGGATAAGGCACTGCCCGCGCCCCTTGGGGAGGAGCCAGGGAGCATGTCTGTGATAGCAAGTCAGGAAGTCTCACCTGATGGTCATCTCATACAGTGTGGGCAGCTGGGCAAAGTCAGAGTGCATCAGGCTGACAGCCTGGAGGAAGCGGCGGTCCTGAGGGGTGGCCACCTGTGGCAGGTTTGCTTCCAGAAGACAACACAGAGGTTACGGAAAGCAGACCCTTCCCTCCCACCTTCCCAAGCTCAGCGCTGTACAGGCACCAGGCAGGGCTCAGCCACGAGGGTAGATGCCGAGGAGGAGACAATCCGGGGAGCTGGGGCCTGTGGCTGCCCCCATGCGACAGAGCACACACTGTCCCCGCCAGTAAGCGCCACCCAGCTACTGCACATGCATCTCAGCATTCGGAGGCAGCCCTTCTCACGGATATTAGAATAGGTCTGCATTTCTCTCCAAACACTGGGAAGACACCAAAAAGAGACAAATGAGCAAAAAGCATGCGCCCAGCATATTCTCTGTGCAGTGGGAGCCGTGTTCTCTAGGAGCAGCAGCCCCGGGCAGCAGGTTGGACATTTCTGTGCAAAGCAGTTTCCCCTGGTGCTGAAGCCCGGAGCTGTCACCTCCGCCCACCTCTAGTCTCTGACACCCCTGCCCCCGCCACTCTGCTTCCCACGCCTGCTCCTTACCAGTCAGCATGCTCTGAACACGGTCGTAATGTGTGAAGTTGTACGTGCTGCTCGTGGGGACAGCCTCGTCCCTCGGGAGCGTCTCTTTCAGGTGGACTTCCAGCCCGTTCAGGGATGCCAGGCTGCTGTGGTACTGCAAAAGGTGGGAGAGGATCCAGGCTAGCTGGGCCAGCCTTGGCAGACCCTCTGAGGGTCTCCTGTTCAACCTTGGACTTCACTGAAAAATAATCATCCTGGACCAGCAGTTAGCGTAATGGCTATGTCACAGAACTCCCGTGTAATCAACCGCAGTTCAAGTCCTGGACCCGGCGGCTGTATCACGCCGGGTGCGTGTGCGTGCCCAAGACCCCGAGAGGAGAATGAAGGAGAAGGGATTGCAGCGTGGCCATCCCCCCTGGGGGGTGATTTCTCGCTTTCTATCTCTCTGTCTCTGTCTTTCTGGCAAGTGCGCGCGCCTTATAGCGAAAACCTCTCAAAAAAAAAAAAATCATCCTAAGAATATACTTGGCTTAGCAAAATGGACTCTGACCAGCACCTTTGCCTGATTTTAATTGAGTAACAACTTCTATACTTATGCTCTAATAGTTTTTAAATTAAGGATTATACTGTAGGAAAATCAGAAAACTGAACACTGGCTCAGTGGCGCAGCAGTAGGTGCTATTTATACAATGCTGGATCCATGTGGGTGACTGCAGGTTTGAGGCCCAGGCCAACCTGTCTACACCAGGTGTGCACACCCATCATTCTGACTGACCAGGAAAGCTGGGGGAGATCACAGTACAAGACCCTGTTCAGAGTGCTTGCCTGTCTGTGTCAAGAAATAAAAAGAGAAAGAGAAAAATTAGAAAATAGAGCCGAAAAATAAACTTTGAAAGAAAAAAACACTGGGACCAGCAGATGGTGTAATGGTTATGTCACTGGACTCCCACAAAGTCAACCACAGTTCGCGTCCAGGACCAAACTTTTCAGTTCGGTCAGTTCAGTTAGAAAACTTTTCAGTCACGTCCTGACAGACGTGGTCCAAACAAGGACTGCTGGGCAGCTTTGGCACAAGGCGGCTGCTGTTCCCATTCATCCAGCGCCTCCCAGGGAAGGACACCTGGGCTCAGCCTCTTCCTAGCCAGATGACCTGGGGAAAGTTACTGAATTTCTGTGCTTCATTTTATTATTTTTTTTATTTGAACAACGGGACTATGAGGTGCAGCCTCAGCAGCCCAAGTGGTAGAGCACTGGTACATGACACTGTGGCCACACGGGAGGCCCGAGTTCAGATCCTGCATTGACCTGAACATGCCAGGCACACCCACGGGTAGCTGGGGAAGGATCGGGGCAAGGCAAGACCCTGTTGAGGACTTCTTCCTCTCTCTTTCTCATCAAAGAAATTTAACACATGGGATTACTATGTGACTGCTGAGTGGATTAAGTGAATAGCACATTTGAAAGCCCTCTGTAAACTCTAAAGTGTTACTTTGAGGCAGGACATTTTTATAAAGGGTGAAGAAAATGAAAACAATCATGATTAAAGAAGTGGTCCCTCTCTAAAGAGCACAGGTAACTTGCCTATGGACTGACTATTTTTCAATGGCTCTGTAAGAAACACAAATACACATATAAAGTACAGAGATACTGGGACAAGCACATGGCATAATGGTTTCATCGCTGGACTCTTACATAGTCGACCTTAATTCGAGTCCCGGAGCCGGTGGCTTAAAACACACACCAGGCACATGTGTGTCCATGCCCCAAATCCCAAGAATATAATGGAGGAGAAGGGATTGTGGTGTGGCCATCCCCTCTGGGGGGTGATTTCTCGCTTTCTGTCTCTCTATCTTTCCAGTGAGTGCACGTGTCCTATAGCAAAAATCTCTCTTAACAAACAAACAAAAAGTACAGAGATACAGAATGCTTCTAAAGTGAAGGTCCTGAAGCTTAAGGGTTATCTTTGGGAGTGTATCGGCTTAAACTGTTTGTCTTAGAAATGATATTTAAAGCCCACAGTCTTGGTGTACAAGCTTTACCTCATGCACTCATCCTTGCATTCCCAATGCCTAGTACAGTACCTGACTCCTAGTAAGCGCCCAGTAAACACCTATGACAGGAACGGGTCAATGACACATCCAATGGTAAGCACTTTCAACTTTAGAGTTCGCTGGCTTAAATTGAGGGTGCAGAGTTAAGTAAGAGGGTGTGCACTTTGTTCAGAAAAGCACGATAGCTCACACTTAGGTCATTGGGACAGCTCACACCAACACTGAGTGTAACAGAGACCACTGAACCTCTCGTGTGAATGGGTACAGGGCATGGGAGGGTACACAAGAATTCAGCACCGAGTCAAACCACAGCATCACTGGAAGTTTCTGGACCCAGGGAACCTGGGAAGTCATGCCTCCCATCCTGAGCTGGTGCTCAAGGAAGGGTCAATGGGAATGGAGAGTGAGCCGTGCCAAAACCTTCTTTCTTTACAGCACTGAGCTCTGCTTCCAAAATCTTCTAACTGGCACACAAGATAAAATCACTTAGCTGTAAGCACACAGTTAATCACAAGATGTTATGTCAGATGACATGTGGACAATTTCGCACTGATACCAGAGCTCAGAAATGCTGGCCTGTGGGCTGAGTCCAGCCAGCTGCCTGTTTCTGTATAGTCTGAGAGCTAAGAATGGCTTTTCCATTTTTACATGGTTGAGGGGATAAGTCAGAAGAACAATATTGTGACGTGAAAATCATATGAAGCTCCAATTTCTGCATCCATAAATAAAGCAGTATTGGGACACAGTGACATCGTTTATTTACAAAGTGTCGGGGCAGTTCCACCACAACGGCAGAGTGAGTAGCTGAAAACAATTGCTCTCTGGCCCTTTATACAAAACGTCTGCAGCCCAGCTGTGGCCACACAGCCACAGTGTAAGGCTCTGCAAGGCTGGAAGCCACGGGAAGACTGGGGTTTGGGTCCCCTGGCCCCAGGTTAACTTGTGCACTCTGGGCACGCGTGCACATGTGCACATGCCTATGACCCTGGCTGGCTGGATGACTGGTGGGATGAGGGGTCTTGGTGTGTGACCCTATGGAGGGCACTTGTCTTTGTCTCTCTCATGGAAGAAAGAAAGAAAGAAACACAATACAAACTGTCAACCCTTGACATGGGCATGAACATAAAGATAAAGCGATCTTCCAAACAGCCCTAGAAGACAGAGCTCATCTCTAGGTCCTCTGAGTTCTAGCCCATACTGAAACAAATGGCTTGAATGTCCGTGCAGATCAGAACATGTCCCTCGGAAATTTTGTAGTTGGGGGAAGTGCTTCTTGGTAAAGTATTTCATGATGACACCCTCACGCTAACTTGGAGCTCATCTGCCACACACAGGCTGCCAATGTCCTAATGTGGCAATGAATAATTGATCTCCTCACTGCCCTTGAAGGTCACTGGAACTGTGGCAGGTTAGAAGGGAGCTGTCAGCGGCTCTGTGCTGCCTTCTGGTGAGAGCCTGATCCAATCCCAACCCCGGTCCTCTGGCTGCTCCCCCAGTGCTCCTCCCAGCCATCCCATGCCCTGCCCCCGATCCCTGGCAAACAGAGGTAGAAGCTGATCCACTGAAGGTAAGATGGCAAAGGGGCACAGGGAGTCTTGGTGGAAAGCAACATAACGAAGCAGCCCTTGGGGAGGGGCGTGCTCACCATCCCATCTGGACCGTAACTGACCATTCTGCAGAGGACTCGGCTTCTCTAGACAGCAGCAGAGGACCAGGAAAACCAGGTCAGCCATTTGCTATGCCAGTCTGGGACAAAAAAGCAATACAAGATCTCTCCCAATTATAGAACTGGCAGCTGTCGTGTGTGGTTACAAACCCACTCCCTAACCAGCAGGCTGATCAAAGTCGGTTACCCCTGCACTCTTTTTAGAAAAGACTAGCTTTTCTTCTTCCATAAAACAGCATTCGATTTCCTGGGGCCTAGCCAGCACCAAACCTACTTTACATGAGAGCCCGAGGAGGCTGTTGTCATAACGACACGCATGGGCCTTGACAAGCCAAGTGGCACATCCCTGTTAAAAGAGTCACAGAGCAAGGCAAGTGCCCGCTCTTCACCTTCCTGACCATCCTGGGAAGGGCTTGACAGTCAGGGGACAGAGACTGGGAAGGGGGAACGAGAAATAAGGGGGAATTCTGGACCTGCCACCTCCATGAGATCTTTTGCCTGCATGAGGCTCAGACTCAGTTCTCCTACTGGAAAAATGGGAGTTACCACGCCTACCTCGCAGAGCTGCGGAAGGCTTGGCTAAAGTAACAGAGGTAAAGTAGTTAGTATTCTGCAGACAGAGCAGAGTCCACCTCGAGGAGCAGTCTGCGCTCTTGTTTTCTTTGCGGGAGGAAGGTAACAGGAGAGATATCATATCCACGTTGTTGCATCCAAACACCTGGCCTTCGAAATAACATTGGAGGCTGGGTGCTATTCAGAATTGGACACGAAAGCCACCACCAGGGAGATGGGCTGTGTAAAGCTGCCACCCTAAGTCCCCTGTGCTGCTGTAAGGGGGAGGTGGGGAAAGTCGCTCAGCCGCGGTAGCAGAACGAGGATGCAGGAAGCAAGCAAGCCCCAGCTTGGTGATGTGGGGCCTGTGGACAGGGTGCAGATAAGCCAGACAGCTCCGGAGAGCAAGTCTCTTGCTTGGGGCTCTGTGCAGGAGAAGCTGAGCTGCTCCCAGCATTCCCTCCCCTCTGTCTTCCAAGGTGACTTGCTCATTTGTGGAGGGTCACAAGCCCTGCATGCTAATAAGATCCGGCTTAGAATAATATAGATTTAAGAATAAAAACAAGGCAAGCCCCAGGACACCATTTGCCCTGCAGCAATTGCAACCTGCTGGTTCTACTGCTACCACTTTCCCTGCCAACTGAAGCAAGGCTGTTACCATAGCAACTGAATCTCCAGCGTGGGCCAGGCCAGGGGACCACTCTAAGTGAGGAAGGGGCCCCCTGGAAATGGTAAGGACATTGGCTGTCCCAGGCCTTCTAGGAAGGAGCATCAGATCACCACAGTGAAAGACTGGCACTGTAGAGGGAACGCAGAGACCCTGGGGAACTCCCAGTGCAGGCTGGGACACTCCGCAGAGTAGTTTCCGGCTGACACGGAACCAAGGGCTGCCCAGGCTAAGACATGAGTCTGTTAGCAGGAGCAGCACCACAATGGCTGCGTGTGCGGTCTCTGCCTGCATGAGCCGTTTCTGGAACAGGAGGGCCTATTGCCACCCCCGCACTGCTGACATGGAATCAGAGCTCAGGAAGGGAAGGGCTTGTGTGCAAGGAGTTCGGCTCAGGTCTTCCTTCCTGCAAGGCTTGCACTTTAAGAAACCGGAAGAGGAGGAGGAGAGAACGGGCACCTGTTGGAGCCTCTGCACCAGGCACTGTGCTATGCTCGTGGCTCCCTCTCGGTCTGCACCCGAGTCACTCGTACTCACCCCCCAGAACCCCAGGAGGGAGGTCCTACCATCACCTTCAAGGTATAAACAAGAAGCTCTGCCCAGGTTCATACAGCCGAAAGCTAAGCTCTCGTCCTTGCCCCACTGTGAGTGCAGTGCCCTGCGGAAAGTACCTTCCTGGCCTGGCTGTTCCTAGGTGACAGGGAGGAGCAAAAGAAGGTCCGGAGGGACACTCACCACCTCCTCGATGGCGGCGCTGTCCCCTAGCAGTGGCTCTTCGGCCAGCAGGGCCAGCAGGAGCCCTTTCACGCTGTGAGTGTACAGGCTCATCTGCACCAGGCCCACGCCAGACCCTGCTGGAGCCGACCTGGAGTTGGTGCTGCCTGCAGAGGGGCTGTTGTCCTGAGGGTCTGCCGATTCCACGCCGCATTCCAGGCCAGGGGCTGCGTGGCTCCCCAGGACCCCATCGATGCAGCGCCCCACTCCTTGTTCCCACACGGGAAGCTTACTTCCACTCTGTCCTGGGTCTAAGCGAGGCAAGGACAAGGGTCTGCTAGTCCCTCTTGAGAGAGGGTCTCCTCTGGGAGTGGGGACTTGGCTGCTGTTAGGAAGGCCTTCGGGCTCTTCAAGGGCTCCATTCTGGGTGAGCGTCTCTGAAGGGAGGAGGCGGCCGGTGGCTGTGTCCTCAGGCTGTGTGGGCTCCAGGTTGCTGAAGTCGCTAACAGATTCCTCACTGCAAGGATCACTGCTATCTGGGAAGGCAGTGTGACCTGAGGCCGCTCCCTCTTCCTGAGCTTCTGGGATGTGGAGTTCAGATAAGTCCAGCTCCCCTCGGGAAGAGCTGGGCTCCTTCCCTAGGGAGCGGCTGAGATCAGGCCCCCAATCTTGGGCTGTGCTGTGCAGTCTGGTGGGCCCGATGCTCTCCAGATCATAGTCAGACAAGTGTCCATTCTCCCTCCTGCCACTCGGCCAAGCCTCGTCAGAGGACGTGGGCTCTGGGGTGGGCACTGATGTACTGGCCGTGGAGTCCGTATGTCTGGCAGCGTGTTCTTTCGGGGCACAGGTGCTCCAATGCTGTGGCGGGGGCCGGGCCGAGCCAGCCTGGAGTCTGGCTAGAGATGCAGGAGAGCTGGCGAACGGCACAGAGGTGAGAGGGGCCTGTGTGCTGAGCACACGGTGTGACCTTCCACAGGGACGCGGGGACACTCTGTGTTCCAAGAAGCACAGGCATTTTTGACAAGGGGGTGTCTGAGGCCACAGAGCCCAAGATGCCACCCTGGTCAAACACCAGGAGTCCAAACAAAGCCATGTGTGGCCCACGGGGCTCCACGTCATGCTACCAGGATCACCTACCCAGAAGGGCCGTGCCCACTGAGTGAGCCACCCGTACTGGGAGGGTCTCCTACAAGTCGGACCCTGTCCTAGGTACTGCATTCACTAGTCCCTATGGTCATGATGAACCCAAGAAAGGGATTATTGGGCCCATTTTACAGATGAAAAAAGTGAGGTCCAGGGAGGAATCAGACTTGCTGGTCACCCGGCTGATAAGTCAGTGCTCTGGGATGTAAAAGCCACCCTCAGCTCAGGATGCCAGGCTGACTCTTCCCACCTACTCAGGTTCCAGATGCTCCCCTGGGAGACAGAGCACTGGGGAGCTGAACTCAGGTAGGCCTGAGTGGACCACAGGACTGTTTATAGGAGCTGGGAGGGAGTCCCTCAGGAGCGGGTTGGGGGAAGCCCCCACAGGCTCCCTTACCGCGGCATCCACTCCAGTGGGAACTCACGCAGGCTGCCGACTTCCTCTTCCGTCAGGAACACAGGGATGATCTGGACATTTGGGGGAAGTGCTGCTCCTGGAATTGCAGAGCAACATGACTTTCCCCTAGCAAAGCAGAGAGGGGCCCTGCCTGTCCTCAAGGTGAAGCACCCGACCCCATGCACAGCCTGGTGAGCAGCGCTGGGAGTGCATTCAGCAGCTCATGGCAAAAGCCACTAAACTGTACTCTGGTTTCTGTGACCATCAAGGAAGGGCTGTGCGGGCAACATCACTCCCTGCTGTGGAAAGGCTCAGCAGGAGGAAGCTCACTGGCACTTGGAGGAAAAATAAAGCCCAGCTTCAGTGGTATAGTCAACAATGTACTGATCTGCAGTGCTGGCAGCCGCGTGGCTGACCACAGTGGTACGGGCAGTGGTGTGCTGATCTGTGGTGCTGGCAGCCACGTGGCTGACCTCAGTGGTACAGTCAACAGTGTACTGATCTGCAGTGCTGGCAGCCACGTGGCTGACCTCAGTGGTACGGGCAGTGGTGTGCTGATCTGCAGTGCTGGCAGCCACGTGACTGACCTCAGTGGTACGGGCAGTGGTGTGCAGATCTGCGGTGCTGGCAGCCATGTGGCTGACCACAGTGGTACGGGCAGTGGTGTGCTGATCTGCGGTGTTGGCAGCCGCATGGCTGACCTTAGTGGTACGGGCAGTGGTGTGCTGATCTGCAGTGCTGGCAGCTGCGGGGCTGACCACAGTGGTACGGGGAGTAACGGGCAGTGGTGTGCTGATCTGCAGTGCTGGCAGCTGCGTGGCTGACCACAGTGGTACGGGCAGTGGTGTGCTGATCTGCAGTGCTGGCAGCTGCATGGCTGACCTCAGTGGTACGGGCAGTATGCTGATCTGCGATGCTGGCAGTCACGTGGCTGACTGAAGGTGTGAACCCTGACTGGACCTGAAACACACTAGGCACATGGGCCTCAGGTCCTGATGAGCTAGAGGGCTGGAAGGCTGACAAGACCCTGCTGAGGGAGCCTATCTCACTCTCTCCCAAATGAAATAAAACAAACTTAAAACAAGAAAAAAGACATAAGCTGGAAAAAAAATAGCAGTACCATTGGACCAAGGGATCTGCCCCAACTTAGGCTTCAAAATAAAACAAACGCATCCTTTCGAGGACATCGTATCATCCAGCAGAAGGCTTTCCTGACAGCTGCCACTGATCTGACCCCTCCCTCTGACCAGGATCCCCTGGAATTCGTCTGAGCAGTCTCACCATATGGAGGTGAGGAGGGCCTGAATGCAGGGATTTGAAAGGAGTGCCAACAATCGTCAGCTTTACAGGGAGGACTCGGGGGCCTTCAACTCTCTGCTGGCCTCTCTCCTAATCCCAAGGGCCAAGCTAATAAACATCCCAGAACACACCGCCTTTCACGCAACTTGTATGAGGACGGATGGCCTAAAGACTGCCAGTCTCACGATGCGACAGGGCAGAAGGGACTTACCCTGTTCCTGCGGAGCATCCCCTCCTGCGGGCCGTCTCTGAAAACAAACACACAGAAGCTGGTGCTGGGCCCTGCGTTCTCTTGACCTGAGCAGCAGGAGCCCACTGTGCCATCTGTTCCTAGTCAGCCAGGCCCAGAATGCTTGTCCCAGCCACAGGCCGTGGGCCAAGCAGATGGAACAGCAGCTCCCCCGGCTGCTGGCTCTCACCGCGGCAGGATGAGGCAAGATGGGCCTACACAGGCTACACACAGCAGCCCCATGCGAGCCTGCATCACGCTGTGGGCTCACATCTCTGCCTCTCCTCGGGAAACAAGCAGAGGATCTGTGCCCCTTGCACACCTTTGGGGAATTCACCTTCCAGAAAAGAACCACATTTGCCACAGCTCCTAATGCAGAACTCACGATAATCCATTAAACAGAAATGTGGGAGGCCTGTGGCCCTCACTATAAGGAATCTGACCTAGGGGCCCCAACAGTGGTGCAGCAGAAAAACACAATGCTCTTAGAAGCTGACCACGTAGGAGGGTTCTGAGTTCATGTCCAGAGACCTCCCTGAGAACATCGGGCACATGCATGGCCACGACCTAGGACTGGCTGAAGCTGGGGGTGGACTGCAGCATCAGGACCCCGCTGGGGTCCTGCTGTGTCTGTGTCTCTCCTGGTAGGTAACTTTTTAAAATTTTCGCTACTGGGTGTGTGCTCACTGGTGACAGAGAGAAAGTGACAGAGCACCCCCCAGTGGGGATGGCTACACCACAATCCCTTCTCCATTCTCCCCTTGGGATTTTGGGCAGACATGCACACATGCCTAGCTTGTTTTTCACGCCACTGGGTCCAGGACTCGAGTGACACAGTTGGCCATGTGGGATCCAGCTGCCTTAACCTCCATGCCACCTGCTGGCCCAATAAATGCGCTTAAAAAAAAAAAAGAAATTAACCAAAACAGAATACTACACTAGAGCTCTTTTATTTGTCCTGTTTTACAATCAAAGCCAGAAATCTGAGATTTTCTCAAAAGACAAGGAAGACAAAAATCTCATCTCAACCTGAAGGTTCTAAAAACCCTCCCAAACAAAATAAAAACCAAGCAAAACCTGCTTTGCAGTATGTTATATTTTAGTATAGTCCTGTCCCTCTAGACGAAAATTCTTAAAAAAACAAAAACATGCAACTGTTTACCTCCAACTAACATATCTATTCCTTAAGTCCAAAGACTTGTATATTTTAAGACTACACTAGATAAAAAATTCTTTTTTTCTGTTTAAAATAGTAACATTCAATTCTTGTCATTAAGACATCTTTGGCTATTTAAATGGCTGATTAAAATTTCATGACGTTAAAGTGGTATGGGTAAATTAATCACTTCCCTCCCTCAGATCAGCAATTAGCAAACTCCCCTCAAGGACAAGGTGCAAACAGTTGTGCTTTGTGAGCTGTGATCTCCGTCCCAGGGACTCTGTATGCCGCTGGAGCTCCAAGCTGTGCAATAAAACTTTATTTATAGGCAGCTGGCCCACAGGTCTCAGCTTGCCAACTCCTACTGTAGACATTTAAGTTTTATGTGACTTTTCATTTTCATAAATCCCTGTTGTGTACAAATCTTTTTCAGCAGTTAGATTATTTCCTTACGATAGATCTCTAGAAGCTGAATTATTCAGAAAAGGAAGGGGCATCCTTGGTGCTCTCATCAAATAGTTTACCAGAAAGGCTTGCTTATTTATTTATTTATTTATTTATTTATTTATTTATTTGCTAGCGGGCACATGTGCTCACCAGAGAGAGAGAGCGAGCCTGCGATATTGAGAGAAAGTGAGAAAGCACCCTATGGGGGATGGTCACACTGTTACCTCTTCTCCATTTCTCCTTTCAGGATTTGGGGCATGTACACACACATGCATCTGGCACATGTCTCAAGCTCCAGGTCCAGGACTCGAACTGTACAATCAGCCATGTGGGATTCAACTGCCTTAAACACCATACCACTGGCTGGCCCTGAACAAGTTGTTCTACTTGACAACTCCACCAGCTGTCGGTAAGGAGCCTGAATAGTGCCTTGCCAGTGTTTCAAACGTCTGCTCGTTTAACGAGTATAAAAAGAGCCTTGTGATATTTTGAAACCATATTATCATACTCAAAAAAAAAAAAAAAAAGACACAACAAAAGCAAACAGGGGTCCCACTGCACTAAACTGAGCATGCTAAACTGCTAGAAGTTACATGGCCAACAACAGGGTTGAAGCTTGAGTGACCCTGAAACACACGGGCACACATGTCCAAGACCCTGTTAAGCTGGAGGGCTGGGAAATGGGGTCACGGCATGACAAGACCCTGTTGCAGGTATCTGTCTACTTGGCTCTCTTTCACACATGTGCTCTTGTGAGCAGGTGTGATTTTTTTTATCCCCACTGTAAAAATATTAAATTGGGGTTGGCCCCATTGCCTAGTGGTTAAGGGAATTAGACTGGCCAACCATAGTTCAAATCTTAGCCCTGGCAGCTTGAAAAACACACCAGGTACACATGCGTGTGTACTCCAAATCCTGACAGGATGGGAAAATGAAAGGATTGGGGCGTGACTACCTCCCACTGGGGGAGGAGGTGCTTTCTCCTTCTTTCTATTTCTCTCTGACATATGCACGTCCCTCTTGCAATCACGGGTGTGGTGGCGCCCACCCTATGGCAAAATAATCAATACAAAAATCAAATCAATACAAAAAGAAATATTTAAAAGGGTTTCTATTTTCCTGTCTTTCTATGGACATATCCTTTATAGCCTGTCTCAGAAAAACCTCACGTGTTTTTGACACACAGGCTGTCCTGTGGGAGGTCAAATTCTCATAGTTCCACTTGACCGGAAGGAAAACTG